CTGGGGATGGAGCCAGGAACCTGGGCATGTGCCCTGACCAGGAATAGAACCCTGACCTTTGATTCATTGGTCGATGTGCAACCACTGAGCCATGCCGGCAGCGCCCTCCATTTTGCTTTTTATCCAACACTAGAGATTTCCCCACTGTGTTTTCCCCCATCCCCTTAATGGGTTGCATGTGACCCTCCTACACCTTCTTTCTCTCTTGATTCTAATGTATAAAATGAGCTTCAAAACTGCCATTCTCCAGAGCATTTTCTCAATCTGTTGATATTTTGCTTCCAGCATGTTCTCAAAGTTTTTGCTCAAATAAACTCTTATCAAATTTTTCTATAGACTGGACATTCTTTCGTGGACAAAACCATTCATCTCTCTCATTTGAATAGGTTTCAGCTGGTGTCCTTGTATCAATCTTTTCTCCAACCTCCAGTTCAGTCAGGCCACAGCCGCTGCTAAAAGCCTGTAATGGCTGCCAGGTGACCTGCCTCACAGGCCACCCCCTCTCACTTTGCACCCAGACCCTCCAACGTGCAGGCCCAGTGCTGGGAGCCCATGTTCCATCTCAGCACAGCGGGTCCTTGCTTACGTGGGCACAGGCATGCTTACAACAGTGTATGGACATAAGCAGATTCATTAGCTTCCTGTGAATTTTGGGATGGTGTGTAAGGCCAGAGTCTCTAGAGCAGTGGTTCTCAACCTTCTTAATGCCACAAACTTTAATACAGCTCCTCATGTTGTGGTGACCCCCAACCATAAAATTATTTTCGTTGCTACTTCATAACTGTAATGTTGCTACTGTTATGAATTGTAATGTAAATATCTGATATGCAGGATGGTCTTAGGCGACCCCTGTGAAAGGGTCGTTTGACCCCCAAAGGGGTCGTGACCCACAGGTTGAGAACCGCTGCCCTAGAGGAAGCTGCCTGAGGCCACCTCCTGACTCCAGCGCTCACTGCCTGTGAGAGAGCTGCAAGCGCCTCCGCCGCTTTGAGCTCTCGCTGCCTCGCAGGGGCTGAGCCCGTGTAGATAAGATTCTTAGAAGCGTGGCTGGCACAGAGAATGCACACATTGTATGTCAGCCCTCGTCCACAGGTGTTCACTGGACCCTAGTGTAAGCCCTGAGTGTAGGTTCTGTCTTTCTCTTTTGTGATGCCAGTGGCTGATTTAGGCTTTGATCGCAGAGGCAACCACTTCAATACACACCGTGGCCATGACAGGAGCCAGGCCACCGCCCCGCACTGAGGCTCCTTTGTTTTCGAAATTTAGGTTGATTTCAATAACTGACCATTTGGGCCAATTATCTCTTTCACTTCCTGTGCTTTTTTTTTTTTTTTAATCCTCAACCGAGGATATTCTTTCCATTGATTTCTAGAGAGAGTGGAAGGGAGGTGGGAGGGGGAGAGAGAGAAACATTGATGTGAGCCTACTGGGGCTGAGGAATCTACAACAGAGGTACATGACCTTGACCAGGAATCGAACCGGAAACCCTTTGGTCCGAGGACTGATGCTGTAATTACTGAGCCAAACCAGCCAGAGCACTTCCTGTGCTTTAAATTCCTGTTCTTATGTTTAAACTAGAGGCCCAGTGCACGAATTCATGTACCAGTGGGGTCCCTTGGCCTGTCCTGCGGGATCGGGCCGAAACCAACTCTCCGACATCCCCTGAGGGGTCCTGGATTGGGAGAGGGCGCAGGCCAGGCCAAGGGACACCACGGGTGCACGATTGGGGCCAGGGAGGGACTGTGGGAGGGCTCCGGGGCATGTCTGGCCTGTCTTGCTCAGTCCTGATTGGCTGGAACCCAGCAGCAAGCTAAACTACCGGTCAGAGCATCTGCCCCCTGGTGGTCAGTGTGGTTGAGCAGCCTTAGCATATCATTGGCATATTATGCTTTCATTGCTTCAATGGATGACCGGATGACCAGACACTTGGCATATTAGGCTTTTATTATATAGGATACACCAATAAAGAGACCTGAAACCCTACCCCCCGCAACCCCAATAAGTCCAGAACCCCAGGCGTTGGCGCTCATGCTGTCCCCCACCACCTTGCCGTGGGCTCCAGTTGTGGATTTCCAGGTTCTGTGGGTAATAAACCTTTATCTTCACTAAGTTTCCTGATGATTATGGCTGAAGAGCATCTTGCAAACATAGTAAGAACCAAAAAGAGGTCCAACCACAACACTGGTTGTTGACAGGGAGACCAGCACAAAACAAGCACCTAATATTTGTCAGGCACTGTTCTAGGTGTTAGGGACACAAGTAACAAGACAGTAAGGTTCCCAGCTATAGAAAGCTGACCATTTAGTGAGGTGAGTAGATAATAAACAAGTAAAAATATAAGCCAGATCATTTCAGACACTGATCACTGCGCTGCAGAAATCAAACTGCTGGGATAGACTGGCTCTGTATATCTTTATCACCTTAATTGCTGCATGTCCCCCACCACAGGCCTTGGCACATGCTAGTCCCTCTCTTAGAACACTCTCCTCTCCTTTCTTAACCTGGTTAATGACCACGTCTCCTTTCCTGACTTTCTTGACTGGTCCCATCCCCCCACCACAGTTCCCGAAACAGTATCACCCGTCTCTCTTTGGTATTAATCCAACCGCCATGCTGTGGGTACCTAGGTCTTCTCTAAAGCGATGTCCCAGGAGGTCAGGGCCATGCCTCCTGCTCAGGCGGTCCCCCGGGGGTTAGCGGAGTTGGTGCTGAACAGTTTGTATGTATGAGTGAAGCAGACTTAAAGCCGACATCACAGTTCCTTGAGATTTCCCATCAGCCCCTGGCGTAGGAAGCATCTCCAGGGGAGGGTGTGCTGCCTAGACCTTGCCTCACACCAACCCCCTTCCCTCAACTCCAGGCCTTCACTCCTAAATCCAATTATGTTGCAACCCGGGATTGTTTCTTCTATAGCCTTTCTCATCGCCCAGGGCTGTCCTCAACACAAAAGCACCCCCTGCCTGGCTGAGGATGAGGGCCCCTGGGAGGCAGAGTGGGAGGCGCTGTAGGGCACCCTGGGACCCTGCCTCCTGCTCCTCTGGGCTAGCCCCCCTCCCTTCCCCCTCAGGGAGCGGCTGGCCCAGGGGGCGCCGTTTCCACGGGGACGAGGCACTGAGGACCCACCTCACTGCCCTCAGGAAGGGCGAGGCTTCTGGGGCCAGGTGGGCACTAAGGGAGCTGGGACCTGTGGGAGCCTGCGTGCCTTCCCTGGGGTTTGTTTTTTTGTTTTAATATATTTTTATTGATTTCAGAGATGGAGAGGGGAGAGAGAAGTATCAATGAAAAAGAATCATCGATTGGTTGCCTCTTGCACCCCCGCCCACTGGGGACCAAGCCCGAAACCCGGGCATGTGCCCTTGACCAGAATCGAACCTGGGACCCTTGTCCACAGGTCGACACTCTATCCACTGAGCCAAATCAATCAGGGCTTCCCTGAGGTTTTAAGGTCATTCCTGGGGGGTGGGCGCCCTCTGTCGGCGGGTGGCGGGACTTGCCCGGTGGGACCTGGGTGCTGCTCTCATCTGGGCAGGTGGGGGGCCACCAGGGCCACAGCTGGGCCAGGGTGACCTGATCCAGGGGGCCTTCTCCACGGCCCTGCGGAGGGGCCTGCTGCTGACACGGTGGCTGTGGGGATCCAGAGACTGACGACCTCAGGAAATGACTTGTCTCAATTGACACACACACAGGGTTAAAATATCCATTCATTTCCTACTTCAAACAGAAAAAAAGAGAGAACTAAAATGTTTATGGAGAATCAGCCCCACAGCAAGGCACTGGGACCTGGTGCTGCAAAGCCCACGCGCGTCAGTGCCGGGAGATGGCGAGGGCGCGGGCAAGGCAGACGGAGGAGCCGGGAAGGGTCCGAGTCTCCCGCCAGCGCCAGCGGGGAGAGCTGGCCAGGCAGCAGGGCCTGGGAGTCCCCGCGCACTGGTCGGGGTTCCTCGCCTGGGGTTGGACCCACCCCCTGCTATTCAACTTCCCTGGAACCGGGAAGTGGGCCAATCAAATCCCCGAGTTTATTACCAGCCCCAGAGGCCCGTTCAGGGTGCAGGGTGGTTTCTGACTTCACCTGCGTCTCTAAACGCCTGCTTCTGCCAGGCGGAGGGCGGAGGCTCCAGCAGGGCATGGACCAAACAGCTGACTGCCTTCCCCGCCACTCCCCGCCTGGTGCACCTCCGGGAGGGGGTCAGGGGCGCGGGTGAGGACCTGGGCGCTGTGCAGAGCCCGCCATCACCTGGTCATGGGAAAACTACTCCCCAAGTCCGATTTTCCATTTGTAAAGGGAACTAAGGGTTAGTATGAGAATCCAGGAAAGTAATAAGCATTAGTCAGATACAAAATTTCTTTAAAGCTGCCGGGTTGACCTAAGGGTCATTAAAAGACACCTTGAAAGCAGGGAGCCCGGTGGGATCGCTGGGGAAGATGCTGTGTCCTTTTTCTTTTAAATCCTCACCTAAGGAGATGTTTATTGATATGAGAGAGAAGGGCTAAGAGGGAGGGAGAAACACCATTCCATTGCCTCCAGTTTGCACCCCAACCCATTGACCAATCGGGGATCAAACCTACAACCAAGGTATGCTCACCGATCGGGAATCGAACTGGCAACCTTTTGGTGCAGCGGACGGCGGCCTGAGTAACTGAGCCACCCGCCAGGGCAAGAAGCCGAGTCCTTTCAGAAAACTGTCTGGAGTACTGTGTTCCAGGAGCCCCACACCCAGGCCTGGCCTCACACACACAAAAAACAGATCATTCTCTGACTGGCTACTCTGCGGATCCCTCTTGGTGGGGAGAAAGGAGCATGTGACTGTGGGAACCATCGGGTCCAGCCCAGGGCGTAAAGGCAAGTTCTCACAGAAGGAAGAGCCCATTAGCAATTCTCTGATCTACGTGTGTGTGGTCAATAGCTTTGCAGTTAATGGCACGAATATACGTGTCAACCATGAATGTACGCGCTGTCAATTTCTACGTCATGAAATAGATGATATGAAATTAAAGAATACTCATGGAAACAAAGTCTTTGTTTATTATTGCTATAATCAAGGCAAAAATCTCTTAAAACAATTAGCCTTGATAATGGAAATATAATCAGAACCATTATTCATGATTTTACAGTTTGATCTCCTCTGCTGCTCAGACTTCAGTTTCACAAATACTACCTCCCATAAACCTTCGTTACACAAGCGGATGAGAGAACATGGAAGCCACAGAGCACCGCATGGCCCCTTCTTGGTGATCCAGCTTCAGACCAACCATTTGCTCACTGTGAACCTGTTTCATCCTGTGTTCAAAACACTGGAGACAAAGGCGGAGAATGACCCGCCCCTCGGAGGGTCCGCTGGGACAGCACGGTGAGAACCACCCTGTAACTTCCAAACCCCACAAAAGGAACATCGCTCACACTGGTGCCTAGAGCCCTGGGCGGGGCAGCGTCCTTCTCCAGTCCGTGTTCCTGGCAGCCACGTGACAGACCCTGAGCTTGAAATCCTGGGCAGGGCAAAGGGTACCCATGACCGAGCTCCACACTCACTACGCAAGGACCTGGCTCCAAGAGCCACGCAAAATGGACCCCGCTTTACCCTAGAAAGAAGACTTTGTCCGGTTTATTTTACCTTAATTTACATCTGTACAGGCAATAATAAAAAGGCTATTTATTATACAACAATTCAGTGATTTTTACCTAGTTTCAAGAATAATGCATGCAATTACAAATGAGAGGTAGAAACACTGTATTAAAGACCTAAGAATACAAACATCATATAAATAAGTGTTCAAATTAACTGCTGGAATTTCATACAGATAAATAAGGTAAATTACATTACTTGGTCAAAGTAAAGGGAAGCCTTGTTTATGTTTTTATCATGTCACTAAATTAGATTAATGCCAAAGAGCTTCTGTGCAATTTGTCAGTTCAAATTTATTATCTAAAAGGATTAAAATAAAAGGATTAAAACTGGAGAGTGGTTTATTCAAGTATTCAAGCAGGTAATAAAAGAAACCAAACAATGTACAAGGTAGGAACCATTTCTGGAGGGATGCTAACTGCCCACCTTCTCCATAACCAGCTATTTGGTAAACTGTCAGGATTAACATGAAAAACACGTATTAGGCTAGAGAGCTGCCGCTTTCCTAAGAGAAAACAAACCTCACTTCTCACTAATTTCATGTAGGCACTCCCCATCATTAACAAGCCTTTAGATCCCAACATGACTTGGCCCTATTAGAATTCTAGCGGGTATCCCTTGATTGACATTTTTTTCTAATACTGCCCAAATAAACCAGCTGTTAAGAAGCCAAGAAGTCCCAGCCACCAATGCACATCCGCATGCACAATAAAGAATGCAACCAAAGGCCAACAGCTGCAGCTCAAAAACATCAGAGAAAACCTGGGGGTGCAGATGAAGAGGTTAGAAACGCAAAGGTTCACCTGAACACAGGCTCTCACCACTGAAAAGCCTACTAGCGACTACATGTGATTCTGGAAAGGGTGTGTGTAGACAATCAAGTAAAGTATTTTTCAAACAAGTCCATTGTGCCTCAGTTAGTTTTAAATTGCAAAATCCAATACAGAGTTGTTTTAATAAATTAGTGCAATATATGAAAGATTTGGGAAGATTAACAATAACAAGAGTCCATATTAGATCAAACTGAAGATTTCACAATTCCTTTTAACTGCCATCTTTCCCGTCTCCTTAAGCTGTTTCTTCCTGAGCTGTTTAAGGGTCATGCTCAGACTTAGACAACATACCCCCAGGACCAAGCTGCCTGGACGAGATGTCGCTGTTTACTTCACACTCAGCAGACACGTGGAATTCCACACACTGCTCTGGTGAGCTAGCGAGGAGCGACTCACTTTGTCTCCTTAACTGTCCTTAAGGATAAATGTACTAGTGATTCTAGCTCTAAGGTACATTTATTTACCAAGTTCACACAGAGCCAAGTGACATACTCTTGCTTCTGCTTCTATAAAGAAAAAGGAAAGGGTGACTTTCCAATAAGGCAGGTTTCCTACAAACACGTGGTTTTTGTTTTGAAATCGCTGCTCATTCTCTGGCAGTGACCAGGCGGCACCAGCCCGGACACCTGCTGCTCCTCAGGGCGTGGGAGAGCTGCCGCAGAGCGCTGACAACCTTCTTTCAATACTAGATTTATCTAGAAACAAAACAAAGTAAGCCACAATGAAGATCATTTATATTTTCAAAACCAAGGAAAGAAAAATTAATAAAAAATCACTAACACTCTACCCACATCCTCATCTCTGTTCTGTTTTAGCGTGAGGTTAGCAATTCTGAACACTTTTTCTTCTTTCTGCCTGCTAATTGTCCGGATATGATTTGTAGTTTAGTACTGCACATTGGTAAGGTTTAGATTAGCATGTTAAATAAAGAACATTTAGATTTTAACAGTGGGCTTGCTCACAACTGCAAATAAATTTTAGAACTTCCATCCCTTATAGTTCCTCAAAATGTGGTATGACCACATGCACTCCAGTGGGCCCACCACCTCCGCCTCAACGCCCAGGTCACTGCGCTTGTCTTTGACAAGTGACACATGCTGGCATCCTGGCATCCTACCAGCCTCCACTCTGCTGTCTATACCAAATATGCAGTGCGTAGGGTCTTAGGATTCTTCAGTCACTAAGCCCACGAGGCTTGAAATAATTGCATGTGTTATTATTTAATAATGAAAAAAGTGTTCTGCACACACAGACACGCCCACCAGCTCAGCAATGCGGAGGGGACACCCAGGGTAACGGCAGAAGCATCAGCTCTTCACAAGCCTCGTCTCTGAGCCTCACAACTCTGCTCCTTTATCTTCCAGGAGGAACTGAGGCCACACTCAAAACCTCCACTCAAACCCAGGCAGCATGACTCCAAACTCTAAGCCCTTCCTAATGGGCCCTGGGAGGCACACCCCTGTCTAAGTCACTTACACTTCTGCACATTTTCCACGTCCGCGGGGTCCTGGAGAATCTTGGTCAGGCCTTCGAGGAGGAGGGCCGCCTTGTGATAGCGGTACGCGATGTCCTCCGTCTGCTGAAACATCTCGTCCAGGGCCGCAGACTGCACCTGCGCAGCAACAAGACCAGGAGAGTCAGCTTTCCCCAGACATGTACCCCCGTCTGGGCAATGTGGCTCCAAGATTAGTACCATCTACCGAACCACAGAAAGCTTCAAAGACTCATCAGATGAGCAATATCAAAAAGGAGCTGCCTGCTCTAGCTGGTTTGGCTCAGTGGATAGAGCGTCGGCCTACGGACTGAAGGGCCCCGGGTTTGATTCCAGTCAAGGGCATGCACCTTGGTTGCAGGCTCCTCCTTGGCCCGGGCGCTGGTTGGGGCTGGTGTAGGAGGCAACCGATGGATGTGTTTCTCTCACATCGACGCTTCTCTCTGACTTTCCCTCTCTCTTCCACTCTCTAAAAAACAAAAGGAGTTTCCTGACGAGTTATTCTGCATGCAAACACAGCCTTCTTGTCCTCAGACATTCGTGACTCACAGGAATTTGCATTTCCAAACTGGTCCTTCTTCGACATCACTGCAGAGTTTATTTTAAATATACACATTCACACTAGGATAACCTGGCATTTCATTAAAGTAGATTGTTATAATAAAATAAATCATGTTGAAAGTCATTTCTCAGCTTCCTCTTTTAGTTAAGCGATTATCTGGAAAAGTCACTCATTTCTTCAGAGATACTATTTGAGCACCCATGCTGAGGCTAAGTCCAGCGTGGTCATAATAAAGGCAGAAGTCCTCAAAAGGTTGAGTGGACTCTCTCAGCAGGGCTGAAAATCTGCCTGTTATTACCTGCTTCTGGAACAGCCGAAGGCAGTCCCCCAACCTGATGGTCCTTTATTGTTTACCAGGCCTTAACTGTGACACGTATATCTGCTTTGTTAGACTGCAAAATGTGTGAATAAAAAGCCCTGGGTCTGGAGATCCAGGGAGCCCATGTCACTAGAAAGTGGAGCCTCCCCTAGCTCCCCCATGCCTTCCAAATTTATATTTCGTGTCTAGTTTCTACTCATTTACATCGCAGCCCCTTCCAGATCCCTGAACCCTTGCAGCTGCGAAAGGACCCTAGCACACCCACTAAGTGCCAGGCACTGGGCACGCGGGGAGGAAGAGCTCCCGCTCTGGGACAGAGGCCTGCAGGACATGCCATTCCGATTCCCAGGATACGTGGTGTTCTTGGAGGAAGCCCCAGGTGGCACAGGACACGTATGAAGTGCACCCCACATGACTACAGGAGGAAGAGGTCAGGGCAAGCTGCCATGATGTGATGCTCAGGCCAAGTCACAGCGAAGCAGGAGTCAGCCAGGTGATGGGGAAGGGGAGTAGGGCCTTGCCATAAATAGGGGACAGCAGAATTATTCACCGGGTTATGCGTTTTCTCTCTCATTATTAAACGCCTGGACTGTCAGTAACCCAGTATCCCCTTGTCAGTATGCACTGTCCCCATCAAAACATAACTTAAAGCCACTCACAGTAAGATAAATACAGCGCATACAGAAAATCAGAGCCCGGGAAAGGAAGAAGAAATACATGGTAATAGCTCTAAGCTTGCTAAGCAGCCAGGGCAAAGGGAGGGGCGTGTTGAAGTCACATGGCTCTATTATCAGAAGAGGAGGAGCACAATTCCCTCTGAGAGGGCACTTCCCTGGCACAACTTCTATAAAAAACTATCGTGTGAATCTTAATTCAGCATAGAGTGATGCAATGCATGTTATTTGTGTCAACAGTTTATAGTCAAAAGTTATTTTCATAGGACTTTTTATTATAATGGCTTTCAAAATTAAGTCCAAGAGTGTACTATAACAGTGCGATGCAAAGTAAACAAATTTGAGGAGCAGAATGGAGGTCTATTATGTTAATGTGGTAAAAATAAGCTCAGTCAACAATTTTTCCCCACTGAAACTATATTTTTATTGATTTCAGAGAGGAAGGGAGAGAAAGAGAGAGAGAGAGAAACATCAATGATGAGAGAGAATCATTGATTGGCTTCCTCCTGCACACCCGCTATTGGGGATGGAGCCTGCAACCCAGGCATGTGCCTTAATCAGGAATCGAACCGTCATCTCCTGGGTCATAGGTCAATGCTCAACCACTGAGCCATGGCAGCCAGGGTCACCACTATCCTTTAACAGTCCCTAATTTCATCTGCACTTTAGAGCAATTTGCCCCATGAGTCTGAAGACAAATTCTTCCCAACTGTGAAGCAGATTTTACTTTGTGTCTATACTTAAGGAATCTGAGCACATGAATTTCTGTGGATTAACAGCAGTATTTTTTCTAATCTCTATCAAGCCAGTTTCTTATACTGAGGAAAATGCAGAAACAGATCCACGAAAGCCTCAGGACGCAAACTGTGGGACGATCAGATCCTGCTATTAGCAACTTTAAAGAGGAATCGTGGAGTGTTACCAAACGTGGTAACCACCCTGACTTACTGTTACTTCAACGTTAAGTCCAGGTTACTCAGAGGCGAACACACACTTGGGGTTTGGCCGTGTGGGGCATCAACCCTCTTTAAAGGGCTCGGCCAGTGGTCGGCAAACCCATCAGTCCACAGAGCCAAACAGCAACAGCACAACGACTGAAATTTCTTTTGAGAGCCACATTTTTTAAACTTAAACTATATAGGTAGGTACATTGTTATTAACTTAATCAGGGGACTCCTAAGCTGGCCTTTGCTAAAAATGTCCTCAATCCGATTGGGGTACGTTCGCTGAGGTCGACCCCTTCCAACTCTCCCATCCACACTCGTCTTGTATGCTTGTTTCGTCTATCTCCGTTCTGAAAACCGACTTCTGCACATGGGCCACGAAGTTTCAATCGCACTGTACAGTGCATGCCTGCACGTGGTATTTTGTGGAAGAGCCATACTCAAGGGGCCAAAGAGCCGCATGTGGCTCGCGAGCCGCGGTTTGCCGGCCACTGGGCAATATCAAGCAGGCATTCGATTCAGAAGATCCTTTTCCAGCCCTGGCCTGTTTGGCTCAGTGGATAGGGCGTTGGTCTGTGGACTCAAGGGTCCCGGGTTCAATTCCAGTCAAGGGCACATGCCCGGATTGCAAGGCTCAGTCCCCCGTGCAGGAGGCAGCCAATCAATGATTCCCTCTCATCACTGATGTTTCTCTCTCGCTCTTCCTCTCCCTTCCTCTCTGAAATCAATAAAAATCTATTTAAAACAAAAAAGATCCTCTTCCAGACGAGAGCACGCACAGCGAGCGTGCGAGGCTTACCATCTCTACAGCGCAGCTATAGATGAGCTTCTCTGCAGTGACGCTGTTCACTTCATCGATAAACCTCTGTTTGTCGGAGAAGAAGCGGTTCAGCTTCTCTGTAAGTTTCTTGCACATGGTGATGCACAATTTGTATCGTTCATTCATATTTTTGACAACTGAAAAAGAGAATGAATTTTAATTTTCCTCCAGAGCTAAAATCGCAGTGACATGCACCTGTCCTGCTGATTTGAGGAAAATAACACTAAACAATCATTAAAAAAATGACTGAAAGGTTCATATGCTCTCTTTCCATGAGAGGATTGAGATAAAGTGCTTCTGACTGCTCTCCGTATCAGTTAAGTGGCAAAAACAAAACACAGAAAAGCTGGCACCTTCTGCCATGTAAGAGTATTTAATAACTGATTCCTCACCCAAAACCTGCCTGGAGTCATGGGGGGGGGGGGACAGCCCCGGCACGCCACCCATACCTTGTTTCACTGCCGAGGACGGGCTCAACTTCCCGGCCTTGATCTGGGCTTTAGCAAGATGCAGCGACGCCGCCAGCAGCTGGGCCGCTTTCATGTACAACACCAGCTGCTCCACCCGCCTGCACAGGAGGCAGCAAGTGAGCGTTAGCCTGCGAGCCACCGCCAGACGCGGCCCTGCACGTCTCAGCACCATGACAGCAGCCCTCCACGGGAAGGGCACGCGCCGGGATATTTTTAACGCACAAATGACTCCGAAGGGCCAAGTTTCGGCATGGAGAAAGATGTGTGTACTTTGAACACAACGATGCACTCGGATAAAAATCAGTGCAATCGCTGTATCATCAGTACCTTCCCCAATGTAATCTACAGGGACAAGGCGACACTGAGGGTGCAGAGCCTCAAGCCTGGGCTCATGCAGTGGAATCCAGCAGGACGAGGTAACACAGGGCCTTCCTGAAGCCTGAGCAGCGAGACGGGACCTTCAGCGATGACAGGCCTCCCTCTCAGACAGGACTACAGAAGCATCAAGAACATGGAAATGAACGCAAAGGGCACCTACCCCCAGTCCTTGCTCAGCTGGCTGATCTGGTCCACGAGCACACTCTCCTGGACCTGGTACAAGGAGACGGCGGACGAGCACAGCTCCGGGAGGCCGCCCCGCGCCGCTGTCAGGTCCAGCACACACTCCGTGAACATCAGCATCATGTTCAGGTGGCGCAGGGTGTCTGTGTGTTCCCGCTGCAGCAAAGCCAGCTTGTCTTAGAAACTCTCAGGTTAAGGAGAGGTGATGCTCACCTCTGTGCATAGACCACGCACTGCTGACACTGTCTATACTTCTCAATATCAGAGTGAGCAAAGGAGATGGACATTTTTAAATTCCAGGAAACCAGTGAGAATATAAACACAAATAAAACCAAATGTGGATGTGAGCACGTTTGTGTGTATATATGAGAACCCACAGAATTTAGCTTCAAAGATACGAGGTCACCGTGCTTTTACCAGAAAAAAATGAAACACCAAAGGATTCTATCACTATACACGAGACAAACCATGACAAAATAGATACCAAGATTGCAAGGATATTCTGCACAGTAAACCATTCTTCTTGATGGTTTAGTGAATGCTACTGACTTATAACTTGACTTCTGGTGGTTTTTCAGTTAACAGCGATTCCTAACACCAAAGCTCTAAACTTCTGTGATCTTTTCAGTTAGAGAGGGAAGCATAGACAGACACAATTGCATGCAGTGAAAATGTACTTTAAAGTTAATGTTGTTTGGAGATTATTTTTTACCTATAAATATATTTTCAAATCTGAAATAAGAGACTAAGTTTCTTCCTCTCCCAGAGAATCATTTTCCTAGAGACAAGAGCATGAACCAATCAACTCCTGGAAGTCTGCTCCACGCCAGCACCTGGACCGTGTGCTCCAACACAGACACACCCATGATGTCCCACACACAGTGGACACAATTTACATCAAAGTTGATGGAGATGGAAAAACCTCTGAAGATTGCCTTCCCAGTCTCGATTGTATTACACATTTTCAAAATCACCACTAACCCTGCCACAAGATCACCACTAAAGCTTTGTATGCAGTCTATTGTGTGAAATATGTAATTCTCGTTCACACAAGATAGAAATGTTAGAGGCCCAGCACTGAGAGAAAGTTTCTTTTTCAGTTGGTCCAGAGAAGCAACCATTTTAGATTGAAATGCAGACTACATTGGCATTGTACTCAGGGACAGGACCAGCAGAGCCCACAGAATGCTGCCCCAGAGGCCAGTGGGAACAGGGAGTCAGTCTTTGGAGTCACAAAACACACCTCTCTTTTCTGGACTGGTGCTCAGCAAGCTTGCGACCATGACATGCTTCTCCCTGCAGAGCTGGGCCCATGGAGACACGATGCTGCACTACAAACCTAAGTGAACACCAGTCTGCTTGGCAGGTTTCCTTTCCAATGTTAGTAACTAACCTGGCCTCATGGTTTATTTTTTAAAACCTGACTTTAAGTGTATTACTTCTATCTTATGAAGAAAAAGCAGCCCTAAGAATAAGAAGTTATGGTTTCAGGAGAAAGATTATACTTCAGAAGTCCTATAAGTAGTAAGATTATACTTCAGAAGTCCTATAAGTAGTAAATAAACTTCAGATTAAAAAACTAAGACCACAAAATCTATGTGTGTCACTTCCCATCAACCAAAGCTTGCCATGGATGAGTGCCATGGTCAACATTATTCTGAAAATACGCCAGCAATGTTTTTCAAACAGAAAAGGTCAGTTAAAGAGAAGAAAAAAACTTCAGAGTTCTGATTCTCTTCCCTACCTCCATCAGCGTCTCCTCCGGCAGCTCAGGCGCTTCAAAGGTGATGAGCCCCTCCAGGCTGGGGGGCGAAGCCCCATAAGGTGTGTATCTCAGGCTGGGGGCTGCCTCTGCTCCCGGAGGGGATGGCCCCCAGTATGGCCCGGGTGGGGAGCCCACACACACGCGGCTGCTTGCGGAGCACAGGGAGCCCCCCGAGCTGCTGGAGCCCACTGCAAGGAGACAGGACACGGCGGCTCAGTGCCAGCAAGGTGCACAGTCCCTCATGCTGCTCCCACTACCAGAGAAACACAGGAAACACGCAACGAGAAGCACTGATCCTACTGAAACATACGAATAGCTTTTATTTTGCCTGTCAACCTTTATACCTTGTCATTATGTATTTCTTATAGAGGTCATCATAGCTACTTTTTAAATATTGCTATAAACAAATTTATACCTTATACATTTCTTCCTGTTTCTCCACATTTTCATAATTATAAAACTCAGTGGATGCCATAGTCGTTAATTAAATTTATATACATAATGCTCATCTGAAAGCATTTATACTATTTGTGATCTTTTAATATCAAAAATAACACTAGCCCTAACCGGTTTGGCTCAGTGGATAGAGCGTCGGCCTGGGGACTCAAGGGTCCCAGGTTCGATTCTGGTCAAGGGCATGTACCTTGGTTGCGGGCACATTCCCAGTGGGGGTTGTGCAGGAGGCAGCTGATCGATGTTTCTCTCTCATCTGATGTTTCCAACTCTCTATCCCTCTACCTTCCTCTCTGTAAAAAATCAGTAAAATATATTAAAAAAAAAACATTCCAACTTTTATATAAAAAAAAATAACACTAATAAAATCTAAATTTCCCCTTCTTTGCAGTAATTCCCTTGTGATTAACGCTCCAAAGAGGTATGATAAACAGGAATGGGATTACCACAGAGCAAATATCGTAAACTTTTAACAGCTTTGTAAGAACCACCACCACTCTCTGTAGCAGCTGTGAGCCGGCACGAGCCCGCTAACCACACAGCCAGGGAGCCTCTGCTCTGAACGCTGGCTTAGTTAACAGGCGTCAAATGTTCCTTTCTTAGAATGAAAGCTTCTTCTTATTTAATACTTTTTCAATCTTAAAAACAAGATTATTAGCTCTACTTGCTCTCTTGTGGTCTATTTATATCCTCTGCTTACTGATCTACTGAATCTTGGTTAGTAACTCATTTAGCATGAGAGAACTTAAAGGACACAAGGTGTAATCTATAAAGTAATGTAAATGATGGCTCATTTCAAGTCCAATCTAAATATTCTCTCAAGTTTTGGTATAAATAACCTATTTATAGAGTATAAATGATAAACCCAATCTACTATCCTGTCTAAATGTAGGATTAAGTGCCAAGATTGGGACCCAAAGTACAAAGGAAAAAAAGGGTAAATTAGGTTTTAAAATACACAAAACAAAGATAAACCACCTGTCATTTTCAAAACCTTTCCTGGATGCACTAAAACCAGCCTTCAGTATAACACAAGTATATAAGTATACAACATAGTACTTTTACTTCATAAAGTTTTTAATAAATACTGCCTCGTTTATTTCTTATAGCCCTTTAGAAAATAGTTATTTCCGTGTCATTGGAAAAAGAAAGCGAACTCCAGAGCGGCTCAGTGCCTCAGCCGGCCGGCCACACTATGCCACTCCCAGAGCACCCCTCCAAGCGGGAGACAGACTAGAGCGAGTCTTCACCTGAGGTTGTCCTTGGTCGAAGGACCGTGTGGGTCCGAGTGGGGGCCGTGGCGCTGTGTGGAGGGGACCCCACAGTGAACAGGACGGCCCTGGAGCTGGCTGCTGCTCCCCCGGGAGGCACTAGGGCCACACCACAGGCTCCTGCAGGGGCGGCCACAGAAAGGCACATTACTTTATAGTGTTTATATTGGGGGTGGGATTATAGGGAGACCTTCACTTTTATATTGTTTGTTTTTACAGTAAGCATTCAATACAGATACCCATTAAAACTATTTTATAGTAATCTTTTCATGGCTATGAATCTTTTTCACACCAAAGCCCAGTATGCAGTTACTTCTGTGTACTTTTAAAACACACGAACTGGCCCTGGCTGGGTGGCTCAGTTGATTGGAGCATTGTCCCATACATTAAAAGGCTGCAGGTTCCGCCCTAACCAGTTTGGCTCAGTGGATAGAGTATCGGCCTGTGGACTGAAGGGTCCCGGGTTCCATTCCGGTTAAGGGCATGTACCTTGGTTGCAGGCACATCCCCAGTAGAGGGTGTGCAGGAGGCAGCTGGTCGATGTTTCTAACTCTCTATCCCTCTCCCTTCCTCTCTGTGAAAAATCAATAAAATAACTTAAAAAATATAAAATAAAAATATGGTGTTTTTTTTTAAAAAAAAGGTTGCAGGTTCGATCCCCAATTGGGGCGGGCATGTGCAGAAGGCAACCGATCAATATTTCTCTCAAAAAAAAAAAATCAATAAAAACATATCTCCAGGTGAGGATAAAAAACAAAACACATCAACTGCAGTCAATTACCCTGTTGAGAATAATTTGAAAAAGTGGGAACCAAGAATAGGGGATAAAAATTTGAGGTAAAGCTGAAGGTAGATCAGGAGTCTCCATACCAACAGAGCTACAGAAGGATGTTGAAAATTGAGTGAAAGTATATTTATGCCTTAGAATCGCACTCTTACAACTGCAGGAAGACAGGGAGCTGCAACAGGTGTCGAAGGGGCTTAATGGGCTGAAGTTGGGCTAAACGAAGAGAAGGTGAAAAATCTCCCATCCACCAAACTAAGCAGAATCAAGAAAAGTTGTCCAAAGCGGTTCCACATTCAAGCATCTGAAACACATTACATTTCTGAGACCACAGAATGGAGGCAGGAGTTAACTACATACATCATGAATTTAAAGGAGAGACTGAACCAGATACAGAAAAAAATTGCCTCTCAATGTCCATCTTCTCTGCAACAGAGCATAGCACATTTAAAGCATCGACTTAACAGCAAAAATGTGGGTTCATAAAACCTTCCAGGGAGCAAGGAATAAGTGGAAAGTAATTAACAGTACCTACTGTTACACAAAATGTACAAAATGACATAGGTACTCTTGTCACTTAATGTAATATCTTTATGATTTTATTCTATTAGGTATAAAAGTATTTAAAGATGGTCATGGGTATATTTTCAGAGCCAATGACCCTATTTTTTTTCACTAAGGCTTAAGTTTTTCCTATTTCCTACTATCAATAATTTTTATTTCCAGAAACTGAAATTTCATGATTAGAAAAAATTTTTAATTTCAAATGATGATAATAAAATTCATGTGGAAGAGAGAAAAAAGAATAAGTTATAAAAAATTCATTTATGGCTAAAAATTTTTTAAGTATGTTTTTATTATTTTAGAGAGAGTGGGAGAAGAAGAGGGAGAGGGAGGAGAGAAAGAGAAAGAGAAATATCAATCGCCTTCTGCGTGCACCCTGACCCAGGATCAAACCCACAACCTGGGCATGTGCCCTGACTGGGAATCAAACCGGCGACCTTTTGGTGCAATGATTCTCTCATCTCTGCTCAACCAACTGAACCACACTGGCCAGGGCATGCCTAAAAATTAAGAAAAAAAGATCTGGTTTCACATGCACAAACTTGGCCTTAACACCTATTCATGTAGAACTCAAAAGCTCTATGAAATTTAAATTTCTTTCTAAAAGAGAATTAGAAAAAGTCATTCTACATAATATAATCATTCAGGCAAGCTGTTTTCAAAAAATTGTCCCAGTTTCTAGTGACTTTTGGTAAAAAGCACATAGAACGGAGAATTCTGAAACTCTTCCAAGGAAACTGACTTTATTTGAAACAGAACATGGGGAAGTTCATGCCTAAGGGCACTGTCCCCCCAAAATGAAGACTGTGATGGTAAGGAAATTGAGCTAAGGGCTCTAATGGAGAAAGTAAAGAACATGTAAGAACAGATGGGTAACCTAAGTAGAGAGAGGGACACTTGAGAAAAGGAAATGTTACAAGTAAAAATCACTGAAACACCGATGAATAACGAATTTGATGAGCTCATCGTAGCCTGGACATGGCAGAGGGGAGAATCACCTTGGAGATATGTCAATAGGAACTTCCAAAACTGAAAAGCAAAGAGGAAGAAGAATGAAAGAAAAGAAACAAAAACCACAGAATACCCAAGAACTGTGGACGACTATAACAGAGTCCCATATGCACAATGGGAATATCAGAAGGCAAAGAAAGAGAAAAGGAACAGCAGAAATATCTGAAGTACTAATGACCGAGAATTTTTCAAAATTAATGACAAAACCCAACCACAGCTCCAGGAAGCTTAGAACAACAGGCATGATGAATACCAAAAGGTCCACACCTGGGCATATGCCCTTTGGATTAGAGATCATGTTCAATCAGTTATCTGCTAGTCCAGATATTCCCTCCTTCGGATGCTCATGGGAAAATCAATTAAAAAATTATAGTGTGTCACAAGAGACCTCTGCCTGTAGTTCCCAAGTCACAGCTCCTAGGTCACACAACACCTTGGCCCCAGAGGAAACCAATTCTCAGAAATTCTTTGTGGCTTCTTCAAATTCCTACACTAGCTCTATATATTTGGCATGCATAAAGGCGTGTAAAACAGTAAAAACTCTGAGATATTAAAGAGACTATATATTTACCCATTTCTTACTCCTGTGCAAACATCTTGACAAATATGACTTTTAAAAAATGATAGCCCTAGCCAGTTTGCCTCAGTGGGTAGAGTGTCGGCCTGTGGCAACAAAGGGTGCCAGGTTCAATTCCGGTCAGGGGCATGTACCTCGGTTGCAGGTTCCTCCCCAGCCTGGGCCCTGGTCAGGGCTCATGCAGGAGGCAACCAATCCATGTGTTTCTCTCACATTGGTGTTTCTCTCTTCCACTCTCTCTATAAAAGATCAGTGGAAAAAATCCTCAGGTGAGGATTAAAAAAATAATACAGTGGGGCCTTGACTTACGAGTGTCCTGAATAACGAGTTTTTCGAGATACAAGCCGTCTCTCGGCCAATTTTTTGCTTTGAGTTGCGAGCTAAAATTCGGGTTATGAGCCAGCTTCAGATACCCCACCGCTAGTTGGCGCAGCAAACGTCACAGTGAACGCCACAACATCAGCCCAGCATCACGTGTCTCACTAGTTCACTTTAAGATTTGACATATGAGTAATTTGAGTTATGAGCTCTGTCATGGAACAAATTAAACTCGTAAGTCAAGGCCCCACTGTAATAGAGAAAACAAGACTAAAGAGGCTACAATAGTGATTTTGAAATTTAGGTACAGATTCCTAAAATCCAAGTCTGGGTTAGGTCTGGAATCTAAATGTGGGTCTACAGACGTAACAGCCCTTGGAACAGCTATGCAAGGGCCAGGGATCTCAGTGACCTATGGGTCTTTATAGGAACTCCTTGCTGTATAAGAAATAGTTAAGAATGCACGAGTGCCAAAACCGGTTTGGCTCAGTGGATAGAACGTCGGCCTGCGGACTGAAGGGTCGCAGGTTTGATTCCGGTCAGGGGCATGTGCCTGGGTTGCAGGCACATCCCCAGTGGGGGATGCGCAGGAGGCGCCTGATCGATGTTTCTCTCTCATCGATGTTTCTGACTCTCTATCTCTCTCCCTTCCTCTCTGTAAAAAATCAATAAAATAAAATAAAATAAAAGAATGCACGAGTGTTTCGCCTAACTTTAGCCAGTATTATCCTACTGATAAAAAATGATCTTGGTCAGAATTCCTTCTAACTCATAGGCCATTGGTCATCAAGATATGGAACAAGTCCCTGTCTTGATAGGCTACTGAGAAAGACAAAAGGACAAGGACAGGATAAAGAAATCTAGGCCAGTATGCTCATGATCAATCAGTAGAAGCAGGTAGGTAGAATATATATCTCCAGCCCATGTCCTAAGCCCTGGAACCTTTGCATAGACTATCTTACATGCCAAAAGGAAATTAAAGTTGCAGGTGGAACTAGAATTGCTAACCAACTGACCTTAACATAAAGAGATAACCCAGTGGGTCCCATGTAACCACAAGGGTCCTTTAAGTGCAGAATAGGGAGGCAGGTCAGAATCTAGGTTGGCCACTGCTGACTTCCAGATGGAAGGGGCTGAGCAGGGATGAGAGCAGTGTCCAGAAGCTGGAGAAGGCAAGGAAGCACACCCTCCCCAGAGCCCGCAGGAGCCTGCTGGCACCTGGACTTGCCCAGAGAGACCAATTTCACACTTCTAATTACCTGCTCCCATCCCCCTCAAAAACAAATAGTTTTCTCTTACCTATATCCATTGGTCGTTCTGTATTTAAACTGTCTGTGCTGCCTTGATGTCCACCTAAAGGTGTCTTGACTTGTTGATCGGACAGTTTCCCAGTACTGACAGATCTAAAAAGAAGAGTGATTTTAATAATGAAAAATCCACACGTAAATAATAAGGATTTAAGCCAAGCCATAAAAGGGTTAATGCGAAGCCAGAGAACAAGGAGACAAAAATAGATAACAATTCAGGGTAGAGATAAACTTCATTAACCAATATAAACAAGAGGCAGAAATAGGCTATTCAGGAAATTCAGCAGAGCTCTGTATTTCCAGCTATAGGAAGCATCTATGGTTTTCGGACTCTAAATGTATACAGTTCATATCCAGCTACTCATTTGGTCTGGTTGTTTTGTAACAGAAATATATGCACTATGGTAGTTTTCATGTTTATTTTTTAATTTTTAAATACATTTTTATTGATTTTAGAGAGAGGAAGGAAGAGGGATAGAGATAGATAGAAACATCGATTGCCTCCTTCACGCCCCCTACTAGCATCAAGCCAGGCATGTGCCCTGACCGGGAATTGAACCGTGACCTCCTGGTTAATGGGTCAATGCTCAATCACTGAGCCACACCAGCAAGGCAGTTTTCATGTTTAAAGCTGGAAGGAAACGGTGTTTTTTACCTGCCAAACAGTGCCTTGCTTTGCTGCTCAGACGTCTGCCTCTCCCTTCCTGGTAGTAAGAGACAATGAGAGCATTCTCGTGGGTCATCCCCATCTTTAGATTGCCCTTCAGAAGGCCCATGGCGAGGAACCAACGCTAGCAGGTTGGAAGATGCTTGTGTTTTGGGGATTTTGAAAGGAGCTGTGGTCTAAAGAAACACGTAAGCTGGTTATTGCGGTGTGCAAAGCATTCAGTACTGGCAGGCTGCATAGCCCAGCAGCCAGGAGCACTGACTCTGGAGTCGGTCAGAACTGGATTAAAATACTGGCCCTTCCACTTACAGCCTCTAACCGTGGGCACCTCAGTGGGATAATGTACATAAAGCATTCAAGTCAAGGGCCTACACTGTACCTGGCACATAGCAAGTGCTCATTAAATTGTAGCTCTTCTCATCGTAAGTCCTTTCCATACTAGTTCATGACCTATTGTAGAGAGCTCAGTTCAGCTATTCCATGGTATCGCTGCCTCTGCATCCATTCTGTTTGGCCAAGTGGACTGCAGGGACCTTAAACTGACACTTGCCTGTAAGTGCACGCCCTAGCTAGCAGCCCACACGTCACGAGCAAATGTCAGCTCCTGAGGTGACGCCCCACCTCCCCTTAGGTAAGACCCCTATGGAGCTTACCAGAACCCTGCTTTTTGGTTTGAATTGAGCAATCTAGCCTTAGCCAGGAACCCGAAACACTCTACCCATGAACCCCAAAAAAGGCATGCACCCAGACCCTGCCTCTCCCTAGCTGCATGCCATCTGGGCATCCCCCACCCCCACCCCCACCCCCCTGCCCAGGATGTGCAGGGTGTCTCTTTCAGGAGCTGTGAGTAAAAGACCTCCATTTCAATTTCTCTTGTGGTCTGTTGTTGAACTGGCTCTCCATCCGTCCACTTCACAATGTTAACCTAACAAAGCCGTAACCCCTACAAAGGTTTAATCAACACACCTTGGTAGGAGAGCCAATGATTGTTGGTAAAGGGGTTTTAAAGAACCAGTCAGAACTCCGCGGAGAGGACCCCAGGTGTTTGGTGGGAGAAGTCCCCAGGCTGCCCGGCCGACTGGGCTGCGGCGAGTGACTGCACCCAGCCCCCGTGTGGGACGGGCACACGGGGTCCGAGTGCTGCTTTCTGAGCTTCTGCTTGTGCTGGTAGATGTCAGTGAGGCTGGGGGCGCTCTGCAGCCTAGCACCCAAGAAGAAAGACTGTGGTGACTGAGCCTGCAGCACTGAAGAACCTACCAAGAAAACAGACGCAGTGTTAACCCAGTGGGAAGAAGCACATGGCACAAACATAAGGATTAAGAAAACAGTCCTCCCTCCCTCCCCCCTCCTCCTCTCCCTTCCATTTCAAAGCGGGAGAGGGAGAGAAGCATCAATAATGAAAGAGAATCATTGATTGGCTGCCTCCCGCATGCCCCCTACTGGGGATTGAGCCCGCAACCCAGGCATGTGCCCCTGACCGGAATCAAACCTGGGACCCTTTGGTCTACAGGCCGACGCTCTATCCACTGAGCCAAACCAGCCAGGGCAAGAAGACAGTTCTTAAAATGAGAATTTCAATGAAAGCCTTTACTTGGCGGGAGACTATTTTTATGGCATCCTTTACAAACCAGTGACAAGAACATTGTCACTGATATTCTCAGGAGACAGAAGTGGATGACGGGTATATTAGCTGTTTTATCAGCAGCTAGCAAATAACTCAGATTAATGCGAGGTCTAATTAGGACCAAAACAACAAACACTGAGCATGAACAGGATCATTTCCATCCTTTACACAAATACATACTTGGGTTTAACAATGTGATTATTCCCTTTTCTCACACCTCAACTAAAATAAACTTTTCAAACGAACCCAGAATAACCCTTTCTTCCTTTCTTAAAATAAAAAAAAGATATGTAAAGAGAATTAGATAATACACTGTTCCTGAATTTGATTTTATTTGTTTAAAATTAACAAGCTTATGGCCCTGGCCGATGTGCCTCAGTTGGCTGGACATCATCCCATGCACCAAAAGGTTGCTAATTCGCTTCCCGGTCAGGGCACACACCCAGGTTATGTGCCCAATCCCTGGGAGGGGGTGTGCAGGAGGTAGCCATGAGATGTCTCATTCTCACATCAATGTTTGTCTCGCTCTCTCCCTTCCTCTCTTTTTAAGAATCAATAAAAAAATCTTCAGATATTCTTGACTCTAAGGGGATACCTACCAGGGGCCTGGGAGAGTCTTGATATGCTGAGCAGTTGGCAACAATAAGGGACTTCACCCACACAAACCTGGTTGCTGCCAACTTAAGGTCCACTAAGCCTTGAGCTCCACTTACAAATTCTTTGGCACTTCTAAGCCAAACTATCACCGATAATATTAAGAACATACAAATCTTCTCAGTGATCTATAACCATCATCTTTCTAAAAACGGACATCAACAGGAGCTTTTGCTACTGACCACTCCTGGCTAACTTCATACTGAATTTGATATTTAACTTTTCATAACAGGGTTCTGCCAAACACACACAGGCACAGGTATATATACGCATGTGTGTACATGCGCATATGCACAAAAGTAAAAAGTGGCAAAGTGCTATGGTCCGGAAAGCTAATTTGTATGCTTTCCCAAGGATCAGAGTTCCTTTAACTGGCCAACTCCTCAAATGCACGTACAGTAAGATTTGACTTTAAAAAGTACGATTTACACACATCTTTGGAAGCATATATGGTACATAATAAAGCAAATAAACTTCTATATTTGTTTTTTATTTGATGCTAACTAGTAGTTCTTATCAAAAATAGTATTACTTGGAGAAAACTAAGATGGCGGCATAGGTAAACACCGGGAAATTGTCGCCTCACACAACAATTGAAAATTACCGCAAAGGACTGAGCAAACATCACCCAGAACAACAGGAAGGCTGGCTGAGTGTAAATTCTACAACTAGAAGGAAAGAAAAGCACGCTGAGAGCCAGAGGCACTGCGGAGGTGAAGTGCAGAGGTACGGCGGCTCGCGCGCGCGAGGAAAGGGGGTGGCGCCTGAGGACGCGGCTGTCTTTTTGAATCACAAGCTCCCTACGGCTCTGAACTCCGGTTCCGGGAAGTCTCTGGGGACCCAGGGCTCATACGGGGAGAGGCTGGTCTGCCCAGGCGGCTTTCCCTCAGAGGTGCTTGCAGCCGTTACCGGGACACTGAGACGCGCGACTCCGGGCGGAGAATCGGCCATAGCTGCTTTTTCCGCCCTTTGACTCCCTGAGACCCCGCCCCACCCAGGCTGCGGCAGAGGCTTTTGCATGTGAATGTACCTAACTGCAGCCTAGCCAGGCAGACCCGGAACTTCCAAGAGAAGGCCCAAGGCCCCGCAGCGGCTTGCATTGCTTCACAGCTGAGCCTCTTCGTGGCTCCTGCTGTGTGGTCTCAGGCAGAGGCTGAATTAGCACCTCCTTAGATCCAGGAGCCACTGTACCCAGTGGTCAGAGGGGGACCATCCAGACTGCAACTCCTCAGATCCATAAGGGACACACTCAGGGGGCAGACTCAGTGAGCACCAAAGCCCCACTGAAACAAGTCTTGCCCCAGAAGGGTGTCTTCAGCACAGAAGTTCTCCCACTTTAGACACAGCTGATTCTCACAGCCAATTGGCCTGGAGGTCAATTCCTCCCAGTGATTCTACAACAACCAAGGCACCAAGAGTGCACCAAGAGTGTCCACCCCAGATAACTGGGGAGGCTGAGCTACTGGGCCCTACAGGACACCTGGCGCACAGGGCCACTCTATCAACACAGGGAAGCTGCCAAAATGCTGAGACAAAGAAACAGGTCACAAATGGCAGAAATGGAGGAAAGCAAACGATTGGATATAGAGTTCAAGGCCACGTTTATAAGGTTTTTCAAGAATTTTATGGAAACCGCCGATAAATTTAATGAATCCCTCATTAAGTATAGTGAGACCATGGAGGACATGAAAAAGGACCAACTAGAAATTAAGCATACACTGACTGAAATAAAGAATAATTTACAGAGATCCAGCAGTAGACAAGAGGATCCCAAGAATCAAGTCAAAGATTTGAAATACAAAGAAACAAAAAATACCCAACCGAAAAAGAAAAAAGAAAAGAGATTCCAAAAATATGAAGATAGTGTAAGGAACCTCTGGGACAACTTCAAGCGTACCAACATCAGAATTATAGGGGTACCAGAAGGAGAGAGAGGGCAAGATATTGAAAACCTTTTTGAAGAAATAATGACAGAAAACTTCCCCTACCTGGTGAAAGAAATGGACTTACAAGTCCAGGAAGCGCAGAGAACCCCAAACAAAAGGAACCCAAGGAGGACCACACCAAGACACATCATAATTAAAATGCCAAGAGCAAAAGATAAAGAGAGAATCTTAAAAGCAGCAAGAGAAAGACAATCAGTTACCTACAAGGGAGTACCCATACGACTGTCAGCTGATTTCTCAACAGAAACCATGCAGGCCAGAAGAGACTGGCAAGAAATATTCAAAGTGATGAATAGCAAGAACCTGCAACCAAGATTACTTTATCCAGCAAAGCTATCATTCAGAATAGAAGGTCAGATAAAGAGCTTCACGGATAAGAAAAAGCTAAAGGAGTTCATCACCACCAAACCAGCATTATCTGAAATGCTGAAAGGTATTCTTTAAGAAGAGGAAGAAGAAAAAGGAACTCTTACCATTTGCCACAGCATGGATGGAACTGGAGAGCGGATAAATACCACATGATCTCACTCATTTGTGGAATATAATGAACAACATAAGCTGATGAACAAGGACTGATCCAGAGACGGAGAGGCATTGATTGGACTGTCGGGAATTGGAGGGAAGGTAGGGGAGGGTGGGGGTAAGGGGGAAAGATCAACCAAAGGACTTATATGCAAGCATATAGGCCTAATCAATGGACATGGACAACGGGGGGGTGAGGGCATGAACGGGGGGGGGGTAGAGGGTAACGGGGGGACAAGGACACGTATGTAATATCTTAATCAATAAAAAATATATTTTAAAAAAAAAAAACAATAAAAAAAAAAAAGAATAGTATTACTTGGGGACGGGGATGAGCTAGAAGGGGTCAGCTACATCTGCATCTACGTAATACTGTCAACAATAAGGATTAAAAAAAAGAATAGTATTAATCAAAGCAACAAAATTTCATTACCTAGGTTTTCATTATCTGTGTGACAATGACCAAAATTTAGCTAAGTTACTTAATTCCTAAGACTTATTTTCATGAAAGAATCATATACCCAAAAACAGATGGCCACACCAACTGGGCACCAATTCTGTTTTTTTGATAAGACTAGAAAAACATAACTCAAATCCATCCTATATAATAAAAGGCTAATATGCAAATTGTCCCCTCGACTGGGAGTTCGACCAGGGAGCTGGGCCTGCCAACCGCCCACAGCCCTGCCTCCGATTGCCCCAATTGGGGGCGGGGCCAGCCCGCCGACTACCCGTGACCCCTCCACCCTCCCACACCCTACGGCCGGACCCCACCTGTGCACTAATTCGTGCACCGGACCTCTAGTTCATAACAGGATTACAGTTATTAATATGCCAACTCCATCTCCTACCTGAAGAGTTCCTCCTCCCGGACTCCTGGCCTTGCGGGCGCCCACAGCAGCACTGACTCCATGGCTCTGGAATGGCACCAACTGCAAAGAGGGAACAGGGGCAGGGCACACAAATGCTTCAAAACCAGCTAAGAATGGAGACAGGCAATACATGCAGACTGCACAGTACATTGTAGTTTACAAAATTTACTCAGCAAACATTTAACTCAGCTAAACAACCAATGTGCTGGGTACTGGGCATACTAGGATCAAAAGTACCTATACTCTTAAAACAAGATCAATAGGAAAGAAAGCCATGTACAATCAGTGTCTGCAACAAGTATGTCCTTAAAACAGGGAAGTACAGTTTGTCCAGAGTTGGGGGCTTGTGGAGCTGAATGACAGCCCAGTGACTGTCCCTCTGAATCCACCCTATTCCTGCTCCCCAGGGCTCCCAGACATGACTGCATATGTTCGAGGCATTCATTCAGGCCTGTTCAAGCAGGTCAGGAAACTTGGACAACTCAGTGCATGGGGACACTCTTTCAGCTGGGCTAACCTCTCTGAGCCCTCACTGTAGCCAGGACTCCTCCTTCCTTCCTTTCCCTCAGATGGTCGCATCTGCATGGCAGTCTTGGGGGGGCTCCCTGTGAACTCCTGCTTCCTCCCCTTTATCCAGCACAGGTGTCCCCCAATCTCTCTTGCACATCTCTGCAGCTACCTTCTTTGCATGTACCTCTCAGGACCCAAATCAATAAAAAGGAGAGCTGGTGAAGACTTCAGGCGATTTAAGTAGCAAGAGACCTATGTCTACAAAGAGGAAGAGGCACCGCCAAGGGATTAGGTCGGCAGGCAAAGGGTTAGCAGACCCCGAGGAAGAGCCTGTTCCTGAGTTCAAGGGTAAGTTTTGGAACATTTCTCTGGAAACCTTGGAGTGCCTGAGGAGCTGCTGAAGGATGAGGCAGAGCCAAGATTTTGTTTGAAAAAAAATATCAGCTAAAAACAGCTTCAAAACCATTGCAACAGGTGAGGTGGTGACAAACGTTTTTTGGTGGGTTTCTTTTTTAAACATTATCACTATGGTTTTGAAATCAGGGCTTCTGGGCACTGTCCTTGCTCTGCCTCCTCCCAACCTTCCCATTCCCTCTGAATCCTGCTCCGGCAGTCCTGGCTGCGGGTGGCGGCCCTCTCCCTTTAGAAATGTGTGTGCGTGTGTGTATAAAAAGTTTTGCGCTGTTTTTTTTGTTTTTTCCATTTTGAGATCTGCCCCCACTGGGCCCTCTCTGTACCACCTTTTCTGCCCCACCACACGGATGCTGTTTTACACAAATTCTGCAATCCCAGTTGCTCTGGTCTCTCTTTGTCTTGCTTTCACTAAACGTATGCTTTAAGGCTTGTTTTTGTGTTTGGTTGGGTTTTGTTGCTGCTGCTGTGTTTCTGCTGTTTTAGCTGTTCCTCTGCTGTACAGTTCCCAGGAGGTGGCAGACTGTAACGAGGCTACCGCCACACCCCTCCCTGGTCACAGGCAGTACTGTTATGTACACGACTGTCTTTTAATCCTCAGAAATCTGAGTGGTATGTAGGGTAGGGGTTTTATGTACTTTAACCTAGATTTTCTGACTTTGTGTTTAGAGCCCAAACCCAAAGGAGATACTTTTTATGCAAAAGATCCATTTGTATTATATTTCCAATGGACGTCCTAACAGATTTACCCAGAGGTTCTCGATTGGGACAAGGGGCAGGGTGTACCCAGGGGGGTGGGATATGGTCCCAGCCAGCTGAGACTCTTTGCCAACGTGAGCCAACGGTCCCATACAGAGTGCCAGGTCAGATTTGGCAGTAAAAAGGTTGAAGACAACTGCTTTAAACTCGTACCCAAAGGGGAAGGTGAATAAGGCCTGGAAGACCCAGTGGAGAGTCTTCGTCCGACTGTCTGTGCTGTGTCTGCGGGCGCTGGGGAGCCGGCTCCCACTCGGAGGAAGCCCATAGGGCTGGTGTTGGACCTTCGCACCACTGCAGACCTGGGAAGATAAAGAAAATGACTCCCTCTGACAGGTTCTAGGACTCTCTTTATTGTCTTTTTTCCTAAAACTTCCTAGAAATATGCCATGGAGTAGATTTTTTAAAAATATGTAACACAGTCACATGGCACAGGTATAAAGTGCATAACATTATACAGTGAAGTCGCCCTCTCCCCCTAATTCCCAGCACTCCCTCCACCTTATGCACAAGGCTCACATTTTAGCGTCTGATCCCTCCAGAGCTCCTAATTCACTGCAGGCACACCCGGCACTGCACACACTGCCGGCCCCTGGACAACACAGGTTTGAACTGCGTGGGTCCACCTATATCAGCCGTGGGCAAACTACGGCCCACGGGCCCAATCCGGCCCTTTTGAAATGAATAAAACTAAAAAAAAAAAAAAAAAAAAAAAAAGACCGTACCCTTTTATGTAATGATGTTTACTTTGAATTTATATTAGTTCACACAAACACTCCATCCATGCTTTTGTTCCGGCCCTCCGGTCCAGTTTAAGAACCCATTGTGGCCCTCGAATCAAAAAGTTTGCCCACCCCTGACCTATATACATTTTTTTCAATAAATACTGTAAATGTATTTTCTCTTATGATTTTAATATTTTCTTCTCTCTAGCTTACTTTATTATAAGAATACAGCATATTATATATAACATACACAATGTTAATCAACTATTTATGTTAATCAACATATATTAATCGACTATTTATATGGTAAGGCTTCTGGTCAACAGTAGGCTATTAGTAGTTAAGTTTTGGGGGAGTCGAATTTTCAATCGCACAGGGAATTGGTGCCCTAACCTCTGTGTTGTTCAAAAGCCCACTGTATAATCATACTTTCATCTTTAGAAAAGATAATGTTATATATACCAGCCATTTTCTCTCTCATTTTTAAAATGAACTAGCAGTCAATAGTTCTTTTCTTTAATGCTCAAACTGGTATCTAGTGGATTTTTTAAATGTTTTTATTGATTTTAGAGTGAGAGGAAGGGAGAGGGAGAGATAGAAATACTGATGTATAGAGAAGCATCAACATCAATCGATCACCTCCTGCATGCCTCCTGCTGGGGACTGAGCCCACAACCCGGGCTTGTGCCAAACCAAACCAAACCAAACCAGTGACCTCCTGGTTCATGGGTTGATGCTTAACCACTAATTAGCTGGGCTGTACCAACCATTTTCAAATTTGGGGGTGTTAGTACTCCATTATACTCTTAAAATCACTGACAATCCCAGAGAGATTTTGTTCATGCAACATACAAGCTGATACTTACTGTAGTAGAAGTTAAACAGAAATTTTTGCAATTATCAATTCATTAAAAATAACTTATCACAGGTAACATAATTATGAAAAATAATTATGTCTTCCAAAACAAAATAAGTTAGCGAGAAGTGTGACATTATTTTACATTTTTGCGAATCTTAGTATCTGATTGAATAGATGACAAGTGGATTCTCATAACTATTTCTACATTCAATCTATATAACATTGGGTGTAGTATATGAAGGAAACCCAGACTTACACAGATATGTAACTGGAAAGGGGAGAAATATTTTGGTAGCCTTTTCAGATACTTCTCTTTGATGCTACATAAAAACTCAGCAAGTCATCATTTCTGAAAGACTATTCACAGCATGGAATTAGAAACCACGTCAGTGAGACTATGTATTCTGTTACATTTGATCACTTGGAAAATATTGGTTGAGCCTGGCTGGTGTCGCTCAGTGGTTGAAGATCGAACCTCTGAAACAGAAGGTCACGGTTCAATTCCCAGTTAGGGCACATGCCTGGATTCCGGGCTCAATCCCCAGCAGAGTCGTGCAGGAGGCAACCAATCAATGATTCTCTCTCATCATTGATGTCTCTCTCTCTTCTCCCCTTCCCTTCCTCCCTGAAATCAATAAAAATATATTTTTTTAAAAATATTGGTTGACTGAGTTATGCAGATATTCCAAATGTTGACACATTATACAATATTAAAAAGTCACATTCACATCAAAAGACCACCATCAATCTTAGAAATGGCTGTCAAGATGTAACAGGAGCTGTCAAGATCACAATGATGAATACAAGTTTTCCAAAATTCTAATTTTTGTTCAGGAGCTCAAATCTTATCTCATTTGTTTTCTATAAAGTTACAGACTTAGTTCATTTTTTACAAAATGGCTGCCAAATATCCATAATCATAGTTTTGTTCTTTAAGAATGGTGTTCATGAAAAAGTGGCTAGTTCAGCTTGCAACTAAAACAATCATACGAGTGCTTTTCCTTAAGACAACTACTCCAATGTGCAGCAAAAGTACTTTATGCCTACATTCCACTCAAGGCTAAGATTTTCAAAGAAAAATAATAATTTTTACTGCTTTATTAAAGACATTCTTTGGTACTGCAAGTGTGTGATAGTAAAGAACACAAAGACTAACAGTATAGATGGGGGCCACTAGCTTGAGGCGTTTTAAGGCACCAGCAATTTTTCCATCATTGGTTTTGCACTATCAGTATATGTACCAATGCAGTGAAAAAGCAAACAATATCCTAATATTATTATGAAAATAGTTTTTCCTCATGGACCCTACAAAAAGGGAGCCACAAACCACACCTGAGAACCACTGCTAGTAACACTCTTCATCACTCTTTTCACTTTATAAACTAAACAATCTTCTACCTCAGGACATAGAGAGCTGCCTTACTCTTTTTTGGAAGATGCTCCATTGTCAGAGATAATCTATAATAAATCAGTCCCTTACTGGTGGGCATTTGGCTTATTTCTCATCCTCTGCTATTATAACAAGAACTTTGTATACAATTTCATACACAGGCAAGGACTGATTATCTATACAATAAATTACCAGAAGTTGAAGTGCTGCTTTAAAGATATATGCATTAATAATTTTTATACGTACTGCAAAATGCCCTTTGTAAAAGTTTTCTCAATGGTGAGGATCATTTTCCATTCATTGAGCTATGTATTTGGTGGGCCCTTTTAACCTAAAATCTTGTATCCACCAATGCTGAAAAAATTTTTTTGATTTCCCAGAAATTTTCTTCCTCATCATTTTCTTTTTCTTTCCTTCTTTCCTTCTTTCCTTCTTTCTTTCCTTCCTTCCTCCCTCCCTCCCTCCCTCCCTCCCTCCCTCCTTTCTTTCTTTCTTTCTTTCTTTCTTTCTTTCTTTCTTTCTTTCTTTCTTTCTTTCTTTCTTTCTTTCTTTCTTTCTTTCTTTCTTTCTTTCTTTCTTTCTTTCTCTTTCCTTCTGAAGAGTACTTTTCATTTATATTTTCCAGCTTTATCTGACTCACCTATTCCACATACTTCCTCAACGTTGTCTCCCAGCATTTATTTTAATTACTATAATTTGTAATGTCCAAGAAGAGGGGTTTTTAATTTTGATTTTTTCAATACTATTTCGTTCTTATTTATGGATGCAGTTTCTAACCTTTCTCTAAAGGTACTAATTTTTAAAATAAGTTTATTTTCTTTGCATTCTTGCTATTTCTTTCAAATTCAGTTTTCCTACTTTTCGCCATCTGCCTCACTGTCACCTCTCCACGGAGCTCTCTGAGATCTGTTTCTGAGGGCACTATGCGGCACAGCGGTTTTCACTGGCAGCAGGCATTCATCTTCCATTCTCTTTGCTTCCCAGAAATTTATTGAAATCTCCCACCCACTGAATATTTATTCCTACTTTCCTTTTCTTTGTGGACTTATACCACTGTCATTCCTTTGCTACCTCAGTGGGGTTTCAGAATGTAGAAAAAATAAATAATATGTAAATAATCTGCTACTACTGGTGGGATTCCATTTTTTAACACACTTTTCCTCAATTCTTAAAAATAATTATATTTGTGGACAAATATATACATACCATATCAACCTGCCAAGTTTAAATATTATCTAAATAGATCCATTACAAAAAAAATTTTTAGTCAATTTTTTGTACCATTTTGTACACCTCCATTTTACAGGGTGGGGAAAAGTAAGTTTACAGTTGTGAGTACATGAAAATAGAGCTTATTCTTGTATTATTTTTATTAATCATTGCCCATACGAACAGCTTTTGACCCACTCTATACACATACATAAGGGGCAAAGTTGGCTATGGAAAGTAACAGATCTTTCAATAAAAACAAAACTCTTTTTTTAATTAAAGTTTTTTTTTTCAATTACAGTTTAACATTCAATATTATTTTGTATTAGTATGGGGGTATAGCATAATGGTTAGACAATCATCTACTTTACAAAGTGTTCCTCCTGACATTTGCAGTACTCAAGTGACACCATACATAGTTATTAAACTACTAGAGGCCCGGTACACAAATTTGTGCATGGGTGGGGTCCAGCTGGCCCGCCCCAATCGGGGCCAATAGGGCCGGGCCAGCCAGCGGGAGGTGACGCAGGAAGTTGGCTGGCCAGCCACGCCCCCTGGTCAAACTCCCTGTAGAGGGGACAATTTGCATGCTAGCCTTTTATTATATAAGATTATTGGCTATATTTCCTATGCTGTACTTTACACCCAGATGACTATATTGTAATTACCAATCTGTACTTCTCAATCCCTTTACCATTTTCACCCACACCCCCAACTCCCTTCCTTCTACCAACCATCAGTCTGTTCTCTATATCTATGAGTCTGTTTCTGTTTTGTTTGTTTATATTGTTCTTTAGATTCCACATATGAATGAACTCATATGGTATTTGTCTTTCTTCAACTGATTTATTTCACTTAGCGTAATACCCTCCGAGTTCATCCACGCTGTCACAAATGGTAAGATTTTAAAATTTTTTAAGGCTGCTTATTATCTGTATTTTTTTAATCCTTTTCTTTTTTTAAAAAAATTGATTTCAGAGAGGAAGGGAGAGAGAGAAGGAGCTAGAAACATCAATGATGAGAGAGAATCACTGATCAGCTGCCTCCTGCATGCCCCCTACTGGGGATCAAGCCTGCAACCCAGGTATGTGCCCTGAGAGACCCCAACATTTCTTGTAATCCTGGTTTGATGCTGATGAACCTTAGCTTCTTCTTATCTGGGAAGCTCTTTATCTGTCCTTTGATTCTAAATGATAGCTTTGCTAGATAAAGTAATCTTGGTTGTAGGTCCTAGCTTTTCATCACTTTGAGTATTTCTTGCCAATCCCTTCTGTCCTGCAAGGTTTCTGTGGAGAAATCAGCTGCGAGTCTTATGGGAGCTCCCTTGAAGATAACTGCTTTTCTCTGGCTTCTTTTAACACATTGTTTGTGGGTAGTTTTTATCGCGCGCTAACAGGTGGCGCGGGCCATTTTTGCTAATTTTTTGCGCAAATGGCAACGTTCAGTAAAATTACGATAACTTTAGTTTACGTATTTATACGTTACCCGCATTCTACCGCTAGTCTATAAAAAACGTATTAATACGTGTCCCGCGCTCTACTACACTGGTAGATTGTATAAATACGTAAAACATGTAAACACGTTTCCCGCATACCATGTGTTAAGATTCTCTGTCTTTAACCTCTGCCACTTTAATTAGGATGTGTCTTGGTGTGGGCCTCCTTTGGTTCGCCTTGTTTGGGACTCTGTGCTTCCAGGACTTGTATGTTTATTTCCTTCACCAGGTTAGGGAAGTTTTCCGTCATTTTTTCAAACAGGTTTTCAATTTCTTGTTTTTACTCTTCTCCTTCTGGCACACAATGATGTCAATGTTTTTATGCTTGAAGTTGCCCCAAAGGCTCCTTACACTATCCTTTTTTAAAATTCTTTTTGCTGTTCTAATTGTGTATTTTTTGCTTCCCTATATTCCAAATTGCTGATTTGAATCTACTACTGATTCCTGTAATTTATTCTTCATTTCAGTTAGTGTATCTGTCATTTCTAATTGGTGCTTTTTTATGGTTTCCATGTCTTTTTTTATGCTGTGAAGTTCTCACAAAGTTCCTTGAGCATCCTTATAACCATTGCTTTGAACACTGTATCTGGTAGTCTGCTTGCCTCCATTTCATTATTTTTTTTTCTGGAGATTCCTCCTGTTCTTTCATTTGGTACTTGTTTCTTTGTCTCTGCATTTTGGCGGCTTCCCTAGTTTGTTCCCATGTATTAAGTAGAGTTGTTATGTCTGCTGGACTTGGTAGAGTGGCCTTGTGTAGTAGGTGTCCTGCAGGGCCCCGTGTACAGCCTCCCCAGTCACCCAAGCTGGGCACTGCAGGTATACCTCTGTGTGGGCTGTGTGCACTGTCCTGTTGTTGTTGAGCCTTGATTGCTGTTGGCGTCACTGGAAGGAATTGACCCTCAGGCTGATCAGCTGCGAGGACTGGCTGTGACTACAGTGAAGGAGATGCTGTACAGGGGCCAACCCTACAGAACAGGACTTGCTTCAGTGGGTCTTGGGTGCTTGTCAAGTCTGCCTCTTCGGTGTGTTGCTTGTGGAGGCGGTAGGGTCATAATCTGGCATGGTCTGAAACTGTCCATTGAGTGCACTGGATCTGGGGCCTCCTGGGAGGTACAAGGTTAGCCTGGGACAGTATGGCACAAGCTACAAAGCAATCTGCAGATGGATGCCACTTGTGCTAGGCTTGGAAGTGCCCAGGAGAGGCCAAGCTGCACATCAAGACCAGCTGCCATTAGTGCTGGGCCTGGGGCCACTTAGTGAGAGGTATGGGGTATGCAGAGTCCAGATGCTGCTTGTTTGAGAGATTTTAGGAAAGTCCAAAGCATGAGGCAAGAGATACCATTTGTATAGAAAAGCCACTGAAAATGGCTTGGGTGTGCCCACTAGTTAGGTAAGGCAAGTCTCGGGGAGTCACCAGGGTGGGGCAAATAGTGAGCCAGGTTGATGGAGACTTAGATATGCATCCACTTGTGGGCAGCTCTGTGTGGGAAGGGCTCAGAAAAGGAACAATGGCCTTTGCCATCACTTTTGTCTGGGAGCTGCCCCTCCAGCTCTCACTCTGATGCCAGTCAACTCAGTTCCTCCCCATATGTCTCTGCTGCCTTCAAGCTTCTTCCCCAGAGCTGGAGCTTAGAGCAAGTGCATCCGAGTCAGTCTGTGCACAGGCTCCTTAAGATGAACTGCCTAGAACTCCAGCTGCCTCTGTCTCATTCAGCCACAATCCCCTTAGTTTTTATAGCCTGAAGTTATGGGCACTCTTCTTCCTGGCATTGGAACCCTTGGCTATGAGGTCTGGTGTGGGGGCTGGGACCCCTCGTTCTTCAAGGGGACCTGCACAGCCAAGATATCCCTCCTGATTTTTACCTGCCACACATGTTATGGGACCAGACATTCCATGTCTCTGCCCCTCCTACTAGCCTCGATGTGGTTTCTTCTTTTTTTTAAATATATTTTATTGATTTTCTATAGAGAGGAAGGGAGAGGGATAGAGAGCCAGAAACATTGATGAGAGAGAAACATTGATCAGCTGCCTCCTGCACACCCCCCACTGGGGATACGCCCGCAACCAAGGTATATGCCCTTGACTGGAATCGAACCCGGGACCCTTCAGTCCCCAGGCTGATGCTCTATCCACTGAGCCAAACTGGTCAGGGCTGGTTTCTTCTTTATATCCTTAGTTATAGGACTTCTGTACAGCTTGATTTCAGGTGATTCTAAAGTACAGTTGTTCTGCAGTTTAGTAGTAATTTTGATGAGGTTATGAGTACCGCATTTACCTATGCTGCTGTCTTGTCTGGAATCCCCATCATGTTTAAAAGAAAAGCCTGTGGACAAAAGGGTCCCAGGTTCAATTCCAGTTAAGGGCATGTACCTTGGTTGGCAGGCTCCTTCCCAGCCCAGGTGCGTGCAAGAGGCAACCAATTGGTGTGTTTCTCTCACATCGCTGTTTCTCTGTCTTTCCTTCTCTCTTCCACTCTCTCTAAAAGATCAATGGAAAAATATCCTTGGGTGAAAACTAACAAAAAAAGATTAAGAATACTAGCTTACCTTGGAGAACCATGTAGATTTGTGCCAGAGCTGGCAGTAGATGTAAGATTCTGCTCCATGCGCTGATAATTCCTTATCTGAGTAGGAACTGGAATTGGTGCTGTTTCACTGTGAGGTGACACAGTAGGCGGACACTGTCTGTAACCATAAGTTATTAAAAAAGAAAGAAATCCAAGTAAGACCCATTGGTAATATTTAGAGAAAAATTCTAGAAGAAGCAAAATGATCAGTTCTGCATGTAAATAAGAAATGATGATCTTATAAAAATATATAAAGCAAAAAAATTTCATTTGTCATTAAAAGAACTCTCCTGGCATTCATATGCATATTTAAGACTAAGATTTATAACAAGAACTGGAAAAACATTCCTCTACAATAAGAAAATTAAGTTGGCAAAACTTAGTTTCATCTGCTCACATTCTGCTATTCATTACTATATGAGAGAAAAATATAATTCTAGGAAAATATGTTGGTAAATGAACAGGAAGTTCAAGATCAAAGATGACTGGAATGTTTACAAAAGTTATGAATGCAGTAAGCATTCCCAAGGAACTCTTGACTTTTATGAAGACTAAAAATAAACTGTGCAATTCTCAAAGCATAGAACTGATCTGAAGTCCATTTTAAATGTTAGGATTTGATTTCTTAATAGCCTCTTTCATTGATTTTCATAAATTCAGAAATAGTATGCCCTTAGATGACTTTCAATTCAATTTACAACATAATATAGGGCCTTAAGATAGATGACTTACTTCATTCTTTGCCCTTCTATAATTCTAAAAAATACACAAAAATCTCCCACTTTTCCCCAATTATAACATTACAGATGTAAGAGATTGTATAGTTATCTAAGCAAAACAAAGACTATCGTCTAGCTTCATGTTAGAACTTTTTAAACCATTAGGAGTATTTCCTATCTAAATCAAAAGAAAATTTCATCAGTAGAAGAGATGTTAGTTGCTTTCCCAATATCCATTTACCTACTATTTCTTACTATCAGAACTCAAATATTATGGAAGGTATGATGTGCCCAGTTAAGTCACCTCAAGTCAAGTCTCTTGTGCCCAACTCAAGTCAAGTCTCTGTCCATCATCATTTATTCCCCCTCTCCTACCCCTCCCTACACCCCTTCTCCCTCTGGTAATCACCATAACTGTTGTCTCCATCTATGAGGTGTGGGGGTTTTTTTCTTGCTTAATCCCTTTGCTATTTTCACCCAGTCATCCAACTCCCTTCCCTCTGACAGCTGCCATCTGACATTATGACATATCCCAGACTTCTTTGCAGCCATGAGTAGTCAATATGTCTTTCTTGGCGGAAGTCTTTTATCTATTCTTCCTCCTACCTGGAATGTGGGTAGGCTTACTGAAGTTTCAGCAGCTAACCTGGAACCATGAAGGAAAGGCCAGAAGAACTGCAGAAAAGGTCCTTGAGCCACAGAAACGAAGGCAACAACTATTTACCTTGACTTCTAATCATGCAAGAAAACAAAACCTTTAGTGTTCAACTACACTACAGTCAGGACCCTGTTGTTTACAATCAAGTGGAATTCCTTATTGATACACCATCCAGTGTGTTTCTATAAGCTCTCCCTATTTTTCACTTACCTAATTCTATTAAGTATCTTTTAAATACAATGACTTAGTCGTAAAGTATGAGAATGTAATGTGAATGAACAAATACCATCTTTCTACGGTCCCAATTTAGTAAGTACCAGTACTCAAAGAGTTGGTGAAGCAAGTACATCTAGGTTTTTTGTTTTTTTAAAAGATTGTTTGTTGAGGTTAAAGTGGTTCATAAATTAGTTTTAGGTGGACAATTCTATTAATACATTATCTGTATATTGTATTGTGCTTACCACCTCAAGTCAAGTCTCTGTCCATCATCATTTATTCCCCCTCTCCTACTCCTCCCTACACCCCTTCTCCCTCTGGTAATCACCATAACTGTTGTCTCCATCTATGAGGTGTGGGGTTTTTTTTCTTGCTTAATCCCTTTGCTATTTTCACCCAGTCATCCAACTCCCTTCCCTCTGACAGCTGCCATCTACAGATTTCTGTATCTATGAGTCTGTTTCTATTTTGTTTATTGTGTTCATTAGATTCCACATGTAAGTGAAATCACATGGTATTTTGTCTTTCCCTGACTGATTTATTTCACTGAGCGTAATACTCTCCAGGTCCACCCATGCTGTCACAGAAGGTAATATTTCCTTATTCCCCCCCCTTTTTTTTTTTATATCCAAGTAGTATTCCATTTCATACATGCACCACAGTTTCTTAATCCAATCATCTATTGATCGGCACTTAGGTTGCTTTCAAATCTTGGCAACTGTAAACAGTGCTGCAAAAAGTATAGGGGTGCATATATTCTTTCAAATCAGTGTTTCAGGTCTCGTCTGATATATTTTCAGAAGTGGAACTGCTGGATCAAGAAGTTCCATTTTTAATTTTCTGAGATAACTCCATACTATTTCCACAGTGACTGCACCAGTCTGTGTTCTCACTAACAGGGTTCCATTTTTCCGCATCCTTGCCAACATTTGTTATTTGTTGACTTGATGACAGCCATTCTGACAGGTATGAGTTGACACCTCACTGTGCTTTTAATTTGCATTTCTCTGATGATGAGTGATACAGGCATCTTTTCATTGGATATTTTTTAACCTATACATTGTCAGGTTCTAATATCTTCCTGCTAATCACCAAAGGGAAATTAAAAACACAGATAGAGAGAATTAAGATGGCGGCATAGGTTAACGCCAGAGTTTGCTGCCTTGAACAACTACTTCAAAAGTGAAACTAAAAAACGGAACGGACATCACCCAGAACCACAGGAACGCTGGCTGAGTGGAAGTCCTACAACTAGGAGGAAAGAGAAACGCATACGGACACTCAGAGGAGGTGCAGTGCTGAAGTCAAATTCTGAGAAACTTTGCAGGCCAGAAGGGAGTGGCAAGAAATATTCAAAGTGATGAATATCAAGAACCTACAACCAAGATTACTTTATCCAACAAAGCTATCATTCAGAATTGAAGGTCAGATAAAGAGCTTCACAGATAAGGAAAAGCTAAAGGAGTTCATCACCACCAAACCAGGATTATATGAAATGCTGAAAGGTATCCTTTAAGAAGAGCAAGAGGAAGAAAAAGGTAAAGATACAAATTATGAACAACAAATATGCATCTATCAACAAGTGAATCTAAGAATCAAGTGAATAAATAATCTGATGAACAGAATGAACTGGTGATTATAATAGAATCAGGGACATAGAAAGGGAATGGACTGACTATTCTTGGGAGGGAAAGGGATGTGGGAGATTCGGGAAGAGACTGGACAAAAATCGTGCACCTATGGATGAGGACAGTGGGTGGGGAGTAAGGGCGGAGGGTGGGGCGGGAACTGGGAGAAGGAGAGTTATGGGGGGGAAAAAAGAGGAACAAATGTAATAATCTGAACAATAAAGATTTAATAAAAAACACACACACAAAAAAAACCCACGGATAAAAATGCCCTAAGAAGTAAACTTAGCAACCTTGTAACTCAAGGCACTCCTCTCGGAGAATCACAAGCAACCAGCTAGCTGCTCTTATACCTCTGGTGCCTCCCCTGCCCAGAACATCAGGAGATGAACAGCCACGGCAGGTGTTCTGTAAATGTCCCAGTTACTGAACAGGAGCTTTGAGCAGGCTACCCAAGGATCTTCATGAGAGCGTCAAGGGACTTAGTGAGACTTTCAAGGATCTCAGTGAGAATGTCAAAGACATGAAAAAGGACCAGTCAGAAATTAAGCATACACTAACTGAAAGAATAATTTACAGGGATTCAACAGTAGAGTAGAGGATTCCTGGAATCAAATCAATGATTTGGAATATGAGGAAGCAAAAAACACCCAATCAGAAGAGCAAAAAGAAAAAAGAATATAAAAATATGAAGATAGTGTAAGGAGCCTCTGGGACAATTTCAAGCATACCAACATTAGCATTATGGGGGTGCCAGAAGAAGAGAGCGAGCAAGATATAGAAACCTATTTGAAGAAATAATGACAGCCCTGGCCGGTTTTGCTCAGTGTATAGAGCATTGGCAGGCAGATAGAAGGGTCCCGGGTTCGATTCCAGTCAAGGGCACATGCCTGGGTTGCAGGCTCAATCCCTAGTGGGGGGCATGCAGGAGGCAGCTGATCAATGATTCTCTCTCATCATTTATGTTTCTATCTTTCTCTTCTGTGGGAAACCACCTATTGTCTTCACTAGCAGAGAGGTGTAGACAGAGAATCCGGAAGGCTGGTGACCTTTGAAGCCCTAGCAAAGGTCAGAGCTGTGCACCACCTCTGTTAATCCAGATAATGGTAGCTGAAGCAACCTCCCCACCTTTAATCATGTAAATCCTTATTGATAAGAATAGTCTATGTGTCACTGGAACATCCCTGCCTAAGGGCTATACTATGGGTGGATCCCAAACCAAATAAAAGCTTGGTGAGGCCTGAGCACCAGTGGAAGTCTTTCCTCTTGAGTTGGACTTACCTGCCTAGCCCCCATTATTTCCAAATTATCTCTTGTCTTTTCTCTTTCATTTGTGTTCGGCTCCTCTTCCAGATCCTGAACCCTGAACCACGTGGGACGTGGAGGGAAACATTTACAACATCTGGCACCCAACGGGAAATCTGGAAGTGAAGGTTTCGCTAGAGCGGAAAAAACGAAGTTTCACCGGCAAGGTGGGGAACAAAGAATTCACTGTAAAGGTGGGGAGATATTTCACTGCACGCAATGCCCAGGATCAACTTCAGAAGTCTGGAATCTGTAAGTAGGGTGGGAACGTTTTCTTAACCAGGCTAACGGGGCAGGATTCGGCTTTAAAAAAGTAAGAAACTTTATTATAGACTTTTGATTTGCATGCTTAAGGAGTTAAAATTTTAAGAAGGTACATTAGATCTTGAAAGTTTGCCAAAAAGTTAGTCAGAACTTGAAAAATAAAAGAAAAAAGCTCAGCAGCAGGAAAAACTGTTTTTCCATGGGGAACACAATATTGCGTTTGCTAGAGCCTTTTAGAGAGGCTGAGGAGGAGCCTCCTCACCTGGTTCCCTCCGCTCCTCCTAGAGAGGAGCAGGAAGAAAAATTGGAGGAATGGCCTTCATGGCCC